GATATGTATAACCGTGATAAAATTGGCTTAAAATAACGCAAATGCTTTTAAGAAGTACTGAGTTTTACATTTTGTATCTGCATAAAAACAAGGGAGCAATAGGATCTTGAATGGCTAAATCAGGTTAATGACTTAAGACTTATTAGTTATTACTTGGGTGTGAAATACTCTCTAACTTTTTATATTCAATCTTTTGTTTTGAGTTAGCTTCTGTGCATTTATATTTCTTTATCTTCTCCCTTGTCTTCTGTGTTGCAGAATGAACTTGCAATTTTGGAATTTATACATCTCTTAGTTGAAACCATGGACCGTCATTTTGGCAATGTGGTAAGTCATCCCTTCCTGTTCTTTATTATTCATATTTTTAGGTACGAAGAAAGCTGATTATAGTAGTCTTTAATTTATAATATTTCCTGCCTATATAATTTTGCAGTGTGAGCTAGACATCATGTTCCACTTAGAGAAAGCACATTTCATGCTGGAGGAGATGGTCATGAATGGGTGTATTGTTGAGACAAGCAAGTCTAGCATTCTAACCCCAGTTCAGCTGATGGACAAAACATCATAAAGGGGAAAAAAAAGAAGAAGAGAAATTCTAAATTAAGCAGTAGTAATTTTTTTTTTTTTTTGGGAGTCCTCAGTCCAGGCAGGTCAATTGTGTTCTATTCTTTTCCCGGACCCCTGTATTTGTTCTGTTCTTTTAATTTCTTTGGTTATACAATAAGGTGGTAGAACACAAAGATTCCACAGTGTCCTTGATAAATGAATTGAATTTAGTGGCTTGTTGTGCCATGTTCAGTATTAAAGTGGTTCAGGTGCTGTTCGATTTTCGTTTCTAGCCCAGCATTCTTGACTATGATTTTCCTTTTATTGACGTGTATTTTGAATTTTGAAATGACAAAGAAGTTTAGATGTATCATGTATGTTCAGAAGTATCAAAAGATTCAAAACCATGCATCAGGCTGAGTGTCAAGGGTTTGTAAGGTCAGTTGCTGATGTGTTGTCTGTCGGATATCAAAGCTGGGCATAAAGCTTGAACAAGAGATTGACGCGTTTATGTGCTTATTCACCGTCGATGTTAAATTTTCCACATACTCTATTTGCATTAATCCTCCTGAGCTTATCATATGCCTCACTTCCATTATGCTATCAAGCTTGAAAATTGCAAATCCCAATGATTGGATCACTTGCAAGTAAGTATTGTTTTGTAAATTCAAAGTCTTCAGTTTAAGTTTTGAGATCAAAACTCAAGAAAATTAATTTCTTCGAATGTATTAGTCTAATATGAAGGGGGTACTCTTAAAATCGCTTATAGAAGTATAAGTTCAAAGGTGTGCAAAAGCTAACCTAAGCACACCTTTTTGAAAAAGCGATTTGAAAATTGCAAAGATTGGAACCGTTGTTTCTGCGCAATCTGCATGCAGCATGTTCTTGCATCATGGAAAATGCTCTTGCGTCATGAAAAATGACTACATCATTGATGATCACTTGGGGTTACAAAGTTTCCGAATTGATATGATCATTTAGGAACCAATAGTAATATGACGCATCTTCTATTGTGTCATCTTCTCATACCAATTGAAAGTGCTCATCTGGACTACCTGCCTTATCACCCTCTTTTCCTCGGGATATTCAGGACTCCCAATCCAGGTCTAATTCAACTACAGGTTTAAACTGCAGCTGGCTTCCCATCTTTTCTAGGATCACTTACTGCAGTAAGTGTCCCGTGGAGTACTTTACCACCATAATCTTTTCCAATTTTTGTACTGATGCCCAGAGGGCTTTCAAGGCTCTGAACAACAAGTTGGACAATTGCTCCTGATGCCCTGGCTTGCAATTGATGACCCATCTCCTCCAAGAAAACCCTAGTCTCCTTGGCAAGCTCAATATGATTCCCATCAATGACGGTCCAGTTCTCATACAAAACAACATTAGGAATTAGCTGTAATAAAACCAATATTAAGTCAATTCAATACCCTTATAATCCGTAGACAAATATATCCAAGAATTTGAAGTAGTAACGAACCATGTGGTAAACTCTTGGACTCTGAACTGCGGCTAAAGGTTCCATCCCCAAGATAAAATGGTTCAGGAAAACCTGGATCACTGCTGGGATAATGGAAATTCCTCCACTTCCACCAATTGCCCCAGCCACTTGATTATCCTGATGAAGGATAAAGGGGTTAGTGCAGAAGAACAGAATTTGAATGAAAAAGTTAGAAGGGCCTAAAATTATTGAAACCTTGGTGATAATAAGGGGTGTCATGGAAGATAGAGGCCTCTTGTTTGGCTGAATGAAATTTGCTGGGGCTGGGGGGAGCCGGTCGGGAGAAATCTCAGTGGGTGAAGAGAAGTCACCCATCTCATCATTGAGCACAATGCCGGTAGAAGGAGAAAGAACGCCAGCTCCAAAACCATAATTTACAGTTGTTGTCATTGATACGGCATTTCGATCTGCGTCTACAATGCAGAAATGACTGGTTCCATGGTCTCTGAGCTGACTCCATCTAAGTATCAAGGATCAGAAAGTATAGAATCATCAGTTGTTGGAAAGCAAGAAAAAAAAGTGGATGATTTCCTTTGTTCACCTGTACATATAGTAATCTGAAGGGAAAGTGGTGTTGTCAAGTATCTTCTGCTGGATTTCCTTTGCATAAGAAGAAGAAAGCATTTCAGATATATATTCCTTCACATCTACAAAATCAAGGTCACCCAAGTTCATTCTTATAGCAAACATGTGTTTCACTGCTTCAATTACACGATGCAGGCCGAGATTTCCCTTTGTAGCATCAGAACTTCCATAGCTGTCTAAGATGTTCAAAACCTGTTTAAGAAAGATTTCATCAAGCAGTCTATTTGCATTCTAATCTTCCTCACTAGAAGAGGCAGAGATTCTAAAAGATTTTATGTTCAAATCTCATTCTGGGTTGCGTAATTTATTGCAAAATCAATAACATACAATTATGTTACCCACCAGAGAAAAGCCAACGGTTCCACTAGAAGGAGGTGGCATTCCATAGATAGTATAGCCCATAACATTTGCAGCCATTGCATCCATCACTTCCACCTTGTAATTCCTCAAATCCTCCATTGTCAAAATGCCACCTGCTTCCCTCACATCCTGCACCAATTTCTCCCCAACAGTTCCATTATAAAAGGCTACTGGCCCCTCTTCTGCTATGGCCTCCAGGCTCTTGGCTAGCTCCAAATTGTAGCATGTATCACCTGCGTGCAACAACTTCCCATTTGGGGCAAACACTTGCCTCAACCCAGCGTCATTCAAGATAGCCTTTTCTGATCTAGCTATGTTTTTTCCAAGATATGGAGCAACCACAAAACCATCTCTAGCAAGTTTTACAGCTGGTTCAAATAAAGTCCTCCATGCTAAACGCCCATGCTTCAACCAAGCCTGATGAAGGCCAGCAATCTCGCCAGGAACTCCCATTGATAATGCTCCTTTGTACTTTGCTTTGAGATCATTCTCATACATGTCCTGTTCATTTCAAATTACATTAACACACAGACTTGTGATAGAAACAGATTATTGCATCATACCTTCTGTTACATTTCAAGGTTCTAACCCAGAAAATTTTTACTGGAAATGTTACCAAATTCAATGGGTTTAGCGAAGCAAGTTTCATGGAACAAGGAGAGAATTGATGAACCTGTGAGGCAGCTGAAGGGGCAGTCTCTCTCATGTCATAAGCTTCAGTTTTTGATGTAGAGGAAGACCTAACTATCATGAATGCTCCACCTCCTATTCCACTTGCCATTGGATTGACAACTCCTACACACAATGCAGTTGCCACTGCAGCATCCACCGCATGCCCTCCTTTCCTAAGCACAGAGACACCAATTTCAGAACACCGGCCATCATCAGCTGCAACAACCCCTCCGTCTGACTCAACAATGTGTCTATCACCCACTCCAATCCTTCCATTGTACTTGTTTTCCCTCAGTGGAAGAAAATTCAAATCATCTATGAATATCAAGCCTACGACTGCAATGAGAACAACATACCTAACATAAATCAGGTAAACATGAACAAGAAACATTATGGAATCAATCTCAATCAAATGGGAATTTAATGAATGCACCTTGAATGCACTTTCTCCACGATAGTCCAAACTAATGAAGTCAAAATAATGTTACTAACTGGGAAGAAATCCTACATTAATCTATTCAAAATTCATGAACCACTGATTCAGACGAGCAAGATATGGACCATATTTTCCTTGAAGATCTTTATGGAGAAATTTTTTAATTACAAATTTACAGATTAACGAGATCAACTGAACATGGAATTCATCATAAACTACAGTGTCTCCTTACATGAAACCCACCAAAATATCGACCCAGTAACATGAATTTTCACCAGGGAATCTACTAAAATCTAATTGTTCAGAACAAATTCTGCCTCATCAACACCATTAAAGTACTTTCTCCCCAAATGGGTATGGGCATACCGTTTTTGATTTCATGAAAGAATCTAAAACTGAAAAACCCAGAATACAGATTTCTGTGACTCACAATGAAATGAAAAATTCAAGGGATGGAGACAAAGAAGAAAGCACTGACTTGAGATGGTTAGAAAACCAAGAAGGAAACACAAAGCTCTGCTCCTGTTCTTCCTCTTCTTAATTTCTCCGAGATCATAATTACCTAGGAGTAGTTGATCCTCCATGCTCTGTTTCTCCATGATTCTGTCTTCCTTCCTCGGAATTCACAGAGACAAAGATGAAGAAGGAAGCAAAGGAGTTGGTAGCTGGCTTACTGTCACTGATGGAATCGCGAAACCGATACACTCTAGTTACAATGATAATGACATACTATTATTATTAATTTTTTGAGTTATTATATATTATATTATATTTATATAAAATTTTTATCTATTTATTTTTTTAATTTTTCATGATTAAGGTTGATTAAAGTTTTTTGAATCATAAAATAAATATTTTTAATAAATATAATAAAAAAATAAAATTTAATGATGAAG